TTAGACTTATAAATGGTAACTATTCAGTTACATATAGTTTTCGATTTGAGTATTACTTAGATAGAGTTTCATTTTAAAGAATACAATAATAAATTGTAATTCTCAGAGACTAAAACGACCTAGTTGTAGTATGTTAAGGAACCCTGGTGGAGCAGTGGTTAAACACTTAGATGCTAACTGAAAGGTCAGAGATATGAACCCACCAGCTTGCTCAGAGGGAAAAAGATGTGGCAGTCTGCTGCTGTAAAGATGTACAGCCTTGGAAACTCCGTGGGGCAGTTCTACTCTGTCCTATAGGTCACTATGAGTTGGATTTCAACTCAGTGGCAGAGGGTTTGGTTTTTTATTTTGATTTTGTAGTATGTTATGATTTTATTGTTTAGCTCCTTCTTTCCATAGAATTACTGTTTATAACCACTTCCATACCCCCAAGGGGACTTAGTAGGATTAAAGACTTCTGATTCACTTTGTATTTGAAGATACATCTTTTTTTTCCCCTCCATCTTTGCTCAGCTAGTGGAATCAATGATGAATTCTCAACTCCAAGGGGTAAGCTGTTTTTAGTAAAGCCCTGCAGCTAGCTTTTGACTCCTTAGAAATAGCATCGATTCCTTCCTTCTCCTGTATTTGTTTTTGTGAGAATGATAGAATCCTGCATAGGCATGATTAATTATCATGCTTAGGTACTTTTAAGCATGTGATAGTTTTAGTCTTGTCCATTTAAATTACATGTGTTATACATACCCGGGCTCCTATTAGAGGAGCAAATAAGCAAAATTAGAGTTATATTTGTTTTGTATGTACACTGAAGCGAAAACAAAGTAACTGAATGGTAGAAGAGGCCTACAGATTGTATGAGGATGAAGATAACATTAGGGTCAGTGTTGCTGAGTGACACATGGTAAGGGCAGCAGACTGGGGACAGAGAACAAAAGTTTATAGATGAGTATTTTGGAACTGGGTAATTTTGAGTAGAAAAAGAGCCCTGGGGTGCAACAGTTAAGTACTCGGCTGCTAACCAAAATATTCACAGTTTAATCCCACTCAGGACCTCCAGGGGAGAAAGACCCGGCAATCTGCTCCTGTAAATATGCTAGCCTAAAAAAAGCCTATGAGACAGTTCTGCTCTGTCACATGGTGTCTGCATGAGCTGAAATTCTCTCAACAGCACCTACCAACAACAACAATTTTGAGTAATGAGTAGATCTAAGGTTTTCTCCCATCTGTGGGTGGCTCTAATGGAATAGAGAATAAAGTCATTATATTTAAGAAGTTATGATATTATAAAACTAAACTGTCAGGTCAAAAAAAAAATTACCATCACCAATAGAGTGCACACAAAAGAAAACCAAATGAACAGAAAAATAATATTTTCTTTTACTTCATGTTTATGTTCTGTTTAGGAGCTCTGGTAGCATAGTGCCTAAGGCACTTGACTGACTGCTAACCAGAAGGCTGGCCGCTCAAACCCACCAGCCACTCTTCGGAAGGAAGGTTGGGCAATCTACTTCCATAGTGATACCACCTCGGAAACCCAAGGAGGGTTCGCTATGAGTTGGGTCCGACTCGACAGCACATATCAACAACAACATATGTTCTGTTTATTAGCAAGAAGGTCTTTCCGTCACTATTTTTATAATATCTTAACTTAAAAACCATTGAAATGTATGCCATATTTAAATCCTTTATTTTTGGGAAGAAAATTGAAGGAGTGTGTTCCCATTCTTTTCTACTGTCATTGTTAGGTGTCATCGATTCAGGTACGACTTATAGTGACCCTATGCACAACAGAAGGAAACTCTACCCAATCATACACCACCTCTCAATTAGTAAAAGCTATGATTGAGTCAATTGTTGCAGCCACTGTGCCAATTCATCTCACTGGGAGTCTTCTCTGTTTCACTGACCCTCTGCTTTACCAAGAATGATGTCCTTGTCCAGGAAGCGGTCCCTCCTGATAACATGTCCAAAGTACATGAGATGGAGTCTTGCTATGCTTGCTTCCAAACAGCATTCTGGCTGTACTTCTTCCAAGACAGACTTACTCATTCTTCTGGCAGTCTATGGTAGATACAGAATTTTTCTTCTGTCTTCCTTATTCATTATCCAGCTTTCACATGTATATGAGACAATTGAAAATACTATGGCTTGAGTGAGGCACACCTTAGTCCTCAAGGTGACAGCTCTGCTTTTTAACACTTTAAAGAGAGCTTTTGCAGCAGATTTGCCCAATGCAATACATTGATTGATTTCTTGAGACCACAATTCGATATTGGTGTCTGATAAAGTCAATACCAATATCCATTATTATTTTAGTTTCTATTTGAAATGGATGCTTGTATATGTTGACCAGAGAATGGGGGGGGGGAGTTGCAATTTTAGCTTGAAAATCTTTAGAAGTGCATAGTTGTACTGCAGTTGTGAATCTCCTTAGATTTTTAAGGAGGCTGCTTCAAAGGGTGTCATTAATAATCTTCTCAGGTGCTTACAAAGCATGTGTCTGTCAGCAGAATTAGAGAATCACCCAACTAGAGAACAGGTTTCACAATACCCTGAGACCTATTTTGTTCATTAGAGAGGAAAATGGCTTGTTTTAAGTCTACATTGACATGCTTGCTAATTTCATCAGTAAAAGCTATTCATTGTGGTCAGGTTTAATTTAGAGCCTGTTAAGGTTCAGATTAAAGTTGACCAAGTTACTTCTACAGCATACTTCTTATATGAAAGTATAGCCAACATTGAGTAATGTATACAAAAGTGAGAAGCAAAGAATAGCCTAGTTGGTTGAAGGTGAATTAATATTAAATCCAAGAAAAATAGCCTGATAAAGATAATCTTTGTTACATAAACATCTCTAAGCACCAAAAGCATGGTTTCCCGCTTAAATTACACAAACCATACATAACGCATTTGTTCACTGCTATATTAACAGCTTCTAGAATAACGCTTAGCCCTCAGTGAATATTTATCAAATGAATGAATGAATTAATTAATTAATTAATGTACTTTCCTAGCTATGTGTGTCAATTCCTTGTTAAATTTGAGAGGAAAAGTTGATTTTATCTGATGTTTCTGCATAAGACTGTTTTAAAAAAAAATCTGTTGAATGCATTCAAATATTTGAAGGTAAAGAGTTCCAAAGCACCTTTCCAGTTTGCTTTGTCACAGATGACCAGATTTTAACATTCTAACCCTGGAAAATGTCTTCTTTCATAAGATCTATCTATTACTGTATGGCTCCTACTTTAAAATTTGTTCAGCACTCTCCAACAGACTTACACCACTTACTTCAGTAGCTATCTTTGGTGATTTGTTCCATATTTCTAACATCCTTTTGTGTAAAGAAACCATAAAAGTTAGAAACCTGAAAATTGGATTTTTCTTCTGAGCAATCATGGCTTACAAATGTGGAGAATGTGTTAAAAGTTAGCCCCTGCAATTTTTCGATCCAGAGAGGGGAAAATACTCAGAATCGATGTACAATGTTTGGATAAGTTTTTTCCCTGCATTATTTTCATATAACCAAAACCAATTGAGCTTAAATCACAAAACCGATCTTGCCACCTCTTCACAAAAGAAACAATGCAGAGTGATCAAATTTTGGCCTTTGCAACACCAAATATCCTTAGAAAATCAACAGGAGTCAAAGGACATAGTTGATAACTAAATTTCATAAACATTGCTATCTACTACACTCCTCACTTTTGTTGCCCTGATGTGGTAGTAGAAAGAACATCAGATTTAAAATCAGACAGACTTCTGGCTTGGTTATTATTAGAATAGGAAGGAGAAAAGATCTGTCACATAGTGATTATAAATTAATAATCTCACTGCCATTGTGTTGATTCTGACTCATAGCAACCTCCATCGGGTTTCCAAGACGGTAAATCTTCACAGTAGATTGCCCTGTCTTCCTTTTGCAGAGTGGCTAGTGGGTTTGAACTGCCAAACTTCTGATTAGCAGTCAAATGCCTTAGTCACTGCACTAACCAAGCTCCTATACATTTATAGTAATGGTCAATTTTAATTTCAACAATTGAAACAAAATGAATTCAATTTTCCATTTTAAAACCAAAGCAATACTACAAGAAAAGTATCTTATTTTTGCATAAATTTCTTTCTAAATCTTGCTGAGACCTTGACCCTTCAGTGTAGAGAGATTAAGATGCCACAGACACTAAATAGATACTTGAGAGAGGAGATATTTCTTAATGATTAGCATTGCTATCTAGAAATTAAGTTATTTGTTGGCTATATTCTATTTGGTATTTTTATCTAAAGCAGTATGAAAGTTTTTTTTTTATAATATAGGAAAATATAAATACTAACTTCAAGCCTAATGATTCCCAAACTTGTCTGTTAAGTAAACAATGTGTTAGAAATATCAATTCCCAGCCATCCCCACCATTGAGTTATTAGTCCTGGGGTGAGTAGAGCAAAGAAGCCTGGGTGATTCTTATGGTCAGGTAACTCTGGAGAAATACTAATATAACACATCTACATCGTCTTCTCATTTTATAGGCGAGGAATCTCAGGTACAAAGAAGTTAAATAACTCATCTCTTAATTCAACTCTGTCCTTTCTCTGTTCTAAATTATACACCTTAATTTTGACACCACGTAAAATGAAATTACAACTATAAATAGCACTCTTTCTCTTAAATGCATTATCACAATTCAGAATTACATCTCTACTAGTGGCACTCATATATATCGGTTTAAGTAAAACTAAGATGCTCTGCAGTGGCTCTTAAAAAGTGAGGCAAATCTATAATCCAGAATTTCATTTGAAATATTTTTAGTATCTAAGAATGAAACACATTACTTGTTAAATTTTTCTCTGCAAATCCCTACACAATAGTGATTGATATCCAGTAACATCTTCTTTCTTATGTCTAAAAGTGTTTTAATTGGCTTGAAAACTGCACTTTACTTTGTATTACATACATGAAATGCATAATGCTGGAGAACCTCAATATTAAGTTATATTTGTTCCTTCAGGGAATGACGCAGGATTTGGAACAGAGACGCCCCCAGTTGGACGAACTCATTACCGCTGCCCAGAATCTGAAAAACAAGACCAGCAATCAAGAGGCTAGAACAATCATAACTGATCGAAGTAAGTCTTTTCACAGGAATGTGAAACTCATTGCAGATGCATGAAAAGTTTCATTATGAACATTAGTTCATATACCCTCATCACGTTTATAAAAATAGTGTTAAAAAGTTGTAAATTCGAATTACTGTACTGAGAATTTCAGTCCATAATATTATCTTTCTATAACTGAGCTTAATTTCAGTGAGTAGAGGAAATATGATTTTTGTTACTTCGGGGCTTGTATAGTTGCAAGACATGAGTGGCGGGCATGGTGTGGCAGAACGTTTGCTTCTCAGTTGTGATCTATCCAGGTCAGCATCAATGGAGATTCCATTATTCCCTCATGTCCTGGGTTGTTGATTCAAGCAGGGAGCTGCTTCCTGGATCATCTCTCATTCTAGTCTACAGTAGTACTTTTGGATCTGGATGTCTCTCTGCTATTTTGATACTCTACTATGTAATACCAGAAGTCATTGCACTGTTCCTTATGTCACACTGGGGTGGACAAGAACTTTGGGATGATGTATAAGGCCCATCTTCCTAGATATTGCATGTACTCTTTTTCTTCTTTACTCGGAGTGATTGTATGTAGTATATGTGAATGTCTGTGGTCAGAGAGAACGATAGAGAGAAAAGTAGGAGGAACTACTCTCTATCCTGTTTCTCCTAGAGACTCTTCTCGGGAATAAGACCCATGTCACCTCTACTATGAGATTTCCTTACGTCTCCCTGGGTTTCCTCTCTTCCCTACACCCATCTTCCCTCCAGAATATGCTTTGAAAGGGGCCCTTCCACAGGGACACATAGAGATATTGAACTTTTGTACTTACCCTACCTTCCTCTAACTAGAAAAATTATTTCTAGTATAAGATTGGGGCAACCCTTCCTTTAATCATCTACTTTCCCCAAAATCTTTTGTCTCATACTAAGTCTAAGCCAAGAATATATGCATTCTTTAGCTACATTTTGTTGTATCATCCTTTCCCTAAGGAAATGGAGGAAGAAATCCTGTTAGGGAAGGGGAAGTATAGCCAGAATAAAAGGTTAATAATTGAAAAATATTCTAAGTCACACCTGTACAATAGGTAAATTCTCAGTGATAATAGTTACTATTTTCTTGGGCTACTATTTATCAGGCAGTATGTGTGTGTGTAATCTTTAAAAATCCTGTTAGCTAAATTTCATAATGCCAATTTTATAAATGAGAAAATAGGTTCTCAGAATGGTTAATCCAATTTCACAAATTTACAAAACAAACGAAGAACAGAGGTTGTTGTCGATGATGGTGTTGGAAGCTGTCTGGTCGACTCCAAGGTTAGAATTTCAGAGTTTAGAAATTGCAGATACTTCTTTCTGACTTGAAACTCTGTTCTCCTTCTACCATTTCCTATCTTGTTTTGTTGTTTTTGTTAATGACCTTAATCACGAGGACTAAATCCTTGTTTAGTGTGCAATTATGTATGTTTTGATTCACTTCCTAAAGACATTTCCTCTTTCAGTTTTAGTGATTGTTAATTAAACTAAGCCTTTCTCCACTTGAAAATTTTAACTCTTTGCTGTTGCTCAAGCATTGAATTTAGGCATATGTTGATGTATTAGCTGAGTAGTCCTAGCTGTTATAACAGGTATGCTCCCAATTCTCAGCGGTCACCACAATAGATGTTTACTTTCTACTTTGGTAAAGTCCAAAATAAGCAGCCCTCTATGAAGCCATTCAGGGATTTACACTCATTTGTCTTTTGTGTACAGAGCATCAGGGTTCTATGCATTTAACCTGCAGACAAGGAAGGAGTATTGCTCATGGTAATTTTTTATAAGTCAGGCTTGGAAGTTGGTGCATATACTCTGTTCATAGTCTGTTAGCCAGTCACATGGCCACACCTAGATGCAAAAGAAGCTGGGAAATATTGTTTAATGTTGATCCCAGGAAGAAAAGAACTGGTTTAGTAAGAAGCTAGTCAGTGTCTACTACAGCTAATTTGGATAAGGAAGAATACATATAAGTTCTTTGGTCTGGTATGAGTTATAGTCCATCATTTCTATAACCAGTGATGCAAGAGCAAAATTCCCTTGTAATGACCATCACAGATTGCTGTTCAATTGATATAATAGAATGTTCAACCTCCCAACTGGAACTATGAGGGTTCACCACCAGCTTGCAACACATTGGCCCCAAAGAATGAATCTTAGTGAGTGATTTTCTCAGTATGAGACTAAATTCACATTACACAGTTAAGTGATCTGTTTCTTGCCTAAGAAATATGGAAATTATGGCAAAGACGTTTATGCAAATTTGAGCATACTCTATAGAAAGTCATTTGTTATTTTAGTAATGAAAAATAACATCTTTTTCCCCCAAGAGGAAAATAACGCTAATTTATTTCACAGTATCTTTTCAACATTGTCTGAACATTTTCCATTATCCTTTGCAATCTATTTTTGATATTGTATTGACTTTTTTTCATGATCTAGATTAAAATAGAGTGACTGGAGGGCAGGTTTGTATCTCACTGCTAATATCCAGTGATTTGAATAGTTCTGCTTTTCTGAGCTTTTGTCTTTTAGCAGAGAATACCTTTATGAATATTTTCAGCATAATGGAAAGATTCTAATCCAAATGGTCTCAATAAAAAGCATTTTCAGAAAAGCAAGTGTCTGTTGAGACATGTCATGTTGCTTATTAAGAGCCTAAGCCAGAATCTTAGTTCTAAATACGCCTGAAGTTTTCAATGCTGGTACCAGAATAATTCTGGCAAGACAGGTTTATGTAAACAATGTCATTTGCAGTCGTGCTACACTTCAGTTTATCTCTTGGTTTGAAATCTATGAAATGGGATGGAAATTCAATACTCATAAAGTTTCAGTCATGTTCAAAATATAATTTTTCTTAGTATAGATTTGGTTTTCAGGGAAAGGGCGTAATAAAAGTACTTGCTCAGAAAATGTATTTTCTTATATGAATATTTCAGTCTTCCTTTTTTATTGACCTAAAACTTCTAGAATCGCTTTTAAAAGAATCAGTGAAATAAAGAAAGAAAACATTGAATATGCGTATAATACTGTATTGAAACATTGTTTTCCTCCTTGGTAAATCTCAGTTCATAACTTTGAATAGTTGGGGAAATCTATACATAGTTATTACATTCTATCAAAAGAAAAGTCCAGTAAAAAGTAATTCCTCTCTACTAGCAATGGCCATGATAAAATCTCAAGTAATCGGGTGTGCAAAATACCAATGTTTCTCTGTATGAAACTGTTTTCATGGTATCTGTTGTTTTCAGGTAAATATATTGTTCAAAATAACGTTGCAATCATCTGGGTAAGAGAACAAATTTCATTCTAAATGAGTTCAAATTAGAAATTCTCACAGTCAAATAATTTTCCTTCAGTTCTTTGATTGCTGAATGTGTCAACCAACCATTCCTGGTCATTTTCTTCTGCAAAAGGCTGGGTGAGAGAAACAAAAGCAAAAAAGATAAGAAGGATCTAAAATCACTTCCTTGGAGGTTTCTGAAGTCTGCAAAACTCTTGTCCATGTCTATCAACATTAGTAAAGCGTAATACCAGGAGCTCTGGTAGCATAGTGCCTAAGGCACTTAACTGATAACCAGAAGCCTGGTGGTTCAAACCCACCAGACACTCCTCGGAAGGAAGGTTAGGCAATCTACTTCCGTAGTGATACTGCCTCGGAAGCCCAAGGAGGGGTCGCTATGAGTTGGGTCCGACTCGACGGCACATTAACAACAACAACAAAGTGTAATACCATAATATCTTACATAGCACTGAGGAGATTATGCAAAGAATTGTTCTGTTTATTTCACAAATAATAGCAGTGTGGTAGTTAACATCATGTGTCACCTTGGCTGGTCCTTGTTTTGAGTGGCTGGGCAGCTGGATGTAGTGATTCCCTTTGATGAGACTGGTAGTCAACTCCATGGTGAACTCCACTGTCAGTAGCTGAGAAGCTGCCTTAGGGATGTGGTCTGCTTCCAGTATATAAGGAGAAGCTTTGAGAAAGGTCTTTGAGCTTTTTGGCTCATCTGGATCCTGCATTGGGCCGAATCTTCATCTCAGCGGTCTGCCATGTTTTCTGCCAATCTTGAGACTGTTTAACTAGTGGCCTGCTGTTTTGCTTGAGAATGTTGGGACTGTGCCATTTTACTTATCAACCTTGTGTTCGTCAGCCTCAGCAACCCTCAGCTTCCTGAGCTAAGAGACACCTCCAGCTCCAGAGGGCCGGGATCAAGAGGCAGAGCTAAAGCCTAAGGTTAAGTGGTCATCACCCAGCCCCTAGAGCTGGCACTTTGAACTTGGACTTCTAGCCTCCTAAACTCAAAGAGAATAAATCCCTGTTTGTTAAAGCCTACGTTTGTGGTAGAGGACTGAAAGAAACAGTAAACATAGCTGCTCTGACACTGAGAGTCATGCCACTGTAGCTTCTCCTCCCTAGCCCCTAGCCCTATCATTACAGAGATCTATAGCAATATCCCATACAGTGGTTTTGAGGGCAGGCTGCTTGGGCTTAGTGCTGATTAGCTTCGTAACCTTGAACAAACAACTCAAACTGTCTAATCTATTTCTTCCTGCATAAAACAGGATTAAATCTATCATCCTCATGAGTTTAAAGAATTAATTGAGATAAACACATAGGGCATTTAGGTCAGCCCCTGGCACATAGTAAGAGCTCAATAAAGGTCATCTGTTGTTATATCTAAGGGTGGTTTCAATACTTGATGTGAAAGCATTGAATAAGCTTTATGAGAGGAAGACTGAAGAAGATTTGATGCCTTTGAATTGTGGTATTGGTGAAGAATAGTGAAGATACCATGGAATGCCAGAAAAATGAACAAATCTGTTCCAGAAAAAAAAATGCAGTCACAATGTTCCTTGTAAGTGAGAATGGCCATATTCATCTCACCTACTTTGGTCAAGTTGTCAGAGGGGATCATTCCCTGGAGAAGTATATCATGCTTTTTAAAGTATAGGGTCAGCAAAGAAGGGAAAGGTCCTTAACAAGATAG